TGTCCTCTGGGCATGAAGGGGGAACCAAGGACCAGATGGACCCGAAGTGGCCTGGAGGAGACCAGCCGGTGACCTGGGAGGGGGACTGTGACATTCGATGGGGGGGCATAGAGAAGCGCGTCTTGCAGTGGGATCAACACCAGATCCCAGGGAGCGTGAGGACTGAGAGGCTGCTCCTCCCACGGCTGTTGGCAGGTGCGGCCTCAGAGGCTGGCTTTCTGTTAGGGGCAGGGTTGACATTTATTTAAGCTGTATACACCAGCACTCCTGTACCAGCTATAAAAATACTGAAAGATTTTTGAATCAATTAGTAGATAGCCAGGAGCCTGTGAACCTCCTCCTCTACCTTCCCCTCATCTGCACTGCTTCTCGCAGCTCCTTTCCACACCCCTCTCCGTGACCAGCAACTAAAGCGTCAACCCCAGCACACCTGGGCCCTGATGATTGGTCTGGCTCATCCATCCTGATTGGCCGGTGGGCAGAACCTGAGCCAAAGCCAATACAAATACTGAAACTTGACTATCAGTCCCGTTTCAGCAGTCTGCCTCCTTGGATTGGCTGAAGCTCAGAAGAGAACTTTTAGAGGGCACAGAGAGGCAGATGGAACAGGAAGGCAGGGCATCAGTCCTCTGAGGGACTGGAACTAGGAACTCCAACTGAGATCATGTGAACTTTGTCTTTGCTTTTCTCTGTGCTTTGGGGCCTACTCTAAAAATCAGGCACCTTAGGCTGGAACTCCAAATCTCTTGGCCTCTACCCACACCCCAGCAGCTCAGCAAACATGATTGTTTTTTCGTGGTACCAAGGATCAAATGGTGCATGCTAGGCAGGCACTCTACAACTGAACTACACTCCCAGCCCCAAAAGTGATTGCTTGAGCCAAGCATCCACTTCTGCTCCCACCAGCTATGTGCAGGGGTGGATGTCTCAAGGCGCAGGCATGGGTGTTGAGAGGACGGGCACCCTGGAAGATGCTCTTTAGGGGTCATGGGATCCGGAGCTGTTCAGGTGTGGGAATGTGACTGTCCCAGGTGGCAGGTTTGTTTGGGTGGTCTGAGGAAGTGGGGAGATGAGCAGGGGAGCTGGCTGGTACTGACAAGTGTGAGCCCTGCTGAGGGTGAGGCAGGGGAATGAGACTGGAGGCGTCGCTAGCAGCCTGTGGGTAATAAACCGTAGAGAAGGAAACATTTCTCTGCAACTTGCCTACCTGGGCACCTCTCTTGCGTGGCTGTAATCTGCCTTGCACAGCTCTGTGTCACTCATTTTCCTGAAACAACAGGTGCATAACCTGGGGGCTCCAGTGATGAATAGTGATCACTGTGACCCTGTAGCTGCCAACACAACTCACGAGCCTCCTGCTATGTGTGAGTTACTGTGTGAAATTCTGCACTTCTAAAGGCTGGGAAGCCCTGGGCCAGTCGCTTTACCTCTTAGCTCCCTGGTTCCCTCATCTGCAAAATGGGATTGGTAAGTAGTACCTCCTTCATAGGGCTATTGTGAAGATCAAGTGAATTCGTGCCTGACAAATCCCTTAAAATAGCTCCTGGCACAAATAAATTGCTCAGTAAATGATAATTCTCAATCATTAGATATTTATGGAGCACCTGCTATACATCAAGTACAACATAAGTCCTGGGAATATAATGGTTGGCAACATTGTCTCCCGTGGCTTACAGTTCAGAGATGCAATTAAACGCGCAACAACGACTCGGGTTAGACGCTGCAATGCGTAAGATGTGAGGGGACAGGACAGTTGATTCTGTCTTTTCGTTTCTCTCTGGGGTTAGAGGGCAAGCTCCCTGAGAGGGGGCATTCTGTCTCTTTCAGTCACAGCTGTATTCCCCAGTGCCTAGGAAGGACCTGGCCCGCAGTGAACATTTTCTGGGTGAGTGAATGCATGGAGTGAGATTTCAGTTGTGCCTTAAAGATGAGGGGCTAATGGGCTGAAGTTGGGAAGTGAAGAGAGGAGAGTGAGCAATAGGTTGTGGCCCCAGCTGGGTGACCTCGATGAAGTTACTCTCCAGTCTGAGTCCCTGTCATCCTTGCCACAGTGGGCGTGGACAGCACCCTCCACGTGGCAGGTGGTGAGGACTGGCGTGTGCACGGAGACACCAGCAGACGCCTGCACCTCTCAACAGTGCGTTCTCCTGTCCCTTCCCGGTTGTTGTGCCACCTGATATTTCCTATTGTTAAAGAGCTCTGTTGAGATGGAGAAGGTTCTTGATCATATTTGGTCATAAATGCTTGAATCCTTAAGATCTCCCACAGGCATATTTACAAGGGATGCTTGAAAAATACAGTGAATGTTTAAATAAAAATTTTTATTACAGCAAAAGACACATTGCCATCAGTCTCCCTCAGAATATTCCCACTGACTTTGAGCACACGTGTCTCCTTGTTCTTGCCGCTTTCTGAAGCAGTTCTGGAAGTCCTCTTTCATGATTGTCTTTGCCAGATGTGATAAAAGAAATATCCTGAATGTTGCTGCCACGTGCCAATCAATGGAGAGGCAGACTTGTAAAAACATTATGGCATGTCCTCATCCACCTAGTCACCGGATCTGGCACTGTGCAACTTCTGACTCTTCCTCAAAGTCAAAACGATCACACAAGGTAAATGTTTTGAATTGATTCAGGGCATGAAGGCAGCCATGGTAGTGCGGCTGAAGACGCTTACGGAAGAGCACTTCCAGAACTGCTTAAGGAAGTAGAAAGAATGATGGGATAAGTGTGTTTGAAACGAGGGCGAGTATTTTAGGGGGAATTAATGGCAACGTGTCCCTTATTGTAAGAAATTATTTCAAACTTAAACACTAAATTTTTTTCATACCTTGTACATTAAATTCAGCACAGTTGGCAGGTAGATCATTCAGGTCACTAAAATAAGTTCCCAAACGCTGCCCCTGCTTAATCCCTTTCCCTTTTAAACCACGGATCTATTTTCTGTCCCTGTAGGCTTGCCTTTTCAGGAACATCACACAAATGAAACCGTACAGCATGGAGCCCTTTTGTCCCCTGTCTTTCTCTTAGTGTAACACTTCTGAGGCTCAGCATGTCGTGGCGTTTACCAGCGACTCCTTCCTTCTTATTGCTGAGAAGTGTTCCCTTGGGCGGAGGTAGCACTTTTATCCCTTTACTTGCCAAAGGATATTTGGGCTGTTTCCAGTTTGGAGATACTGCGAGTAAAGTGGCTGCTGACCTTCCTACAGGGGTTTTGGATAACAGGTTTCATTTCACTGAGGATCAGATCACAGGCTTGTCTATGGCCGGGGGTGTTTAACTTGATAAGAGACTGGCAACTGTTTTCCACAGCGATTGGACCATTTTGCAACCTTCTCCCAATTGTATCAGAACTCTCCTCACCAGCACCGCCAGATATCTTGACACTGTCAGTTTCAATTTTCTAAAATTTAAAGTAGGTATGTGGAGTATTTATAAAATTTTAAAATAGCAGTTTTCTTAGGAGAACCACTCATCACTTCGCAGCATATAAAATAATGTCACATATTGTATCTATTTACTCCCTCACTTGTTCATTTTCCATCCTGGTGCTGGCGCCTGTGTCCGCACACACGTGTTCCTGATGAGGGGATGGAGAAGAATCCGAAGCTCATGGTACTGACTTCGGCACTGTAGTGCTTCGCAGAGAAGGCAGCTTCTGTGCAGGGCTGTGGAAGAGAAGGAGTTTTGTATTTAGAGCAGAGAAAGGACGTGTGGAACCAGAGGGCAGTGAAGGGCATGGCAGTTGTGGGAGACGATTGGGTTCCGTGCGCTGGGAACACGGTGCATACGCGGGAACATGGGCGGGTCCCAGCCGAGATGTAGTCATCGCAACACGGAAGCGTCCACCTGCGGCTTACTATGTGCCAGGTGTCCCGAGATCTCTACGTGGGTTAATCCACTTACTCTTCCTGACAGTCCTACAAGGTAATGATAGGCTCCGCACTGCCATTATCTCCATTTTATAGACAAGGAAACTGAAGCAGAAAAGGATTAAATAACTTGCCCAGTGCCATTCAAGGAGGAAGAATCCAGGCAGTGCATGTTCTAAAGTCTGGGCCTTTAATCACTGCACTGCCAGGTGGGAGGGGCATGGTTATTAGATAGGGAACAACAAAAGCTGCTGTAACAAATAATCCCCGAAGTACAGTGACTTAAACCAGAAGTAACAGAGAGTGTCTCTCAGGATGAAGCCCAAGGCTGATAGGGTGCATTTGTCCTCTCCACAGTTGGCTCAAGTCTGGGCTCAAGCTGTCACCCTCCTGCAGCCAGCAGAAAAGGGGAAGGCACCAGGGGGCTGAGGCACGTTCCTGGTAAGGGGATGACTGGAAGCACACCCATCCCATTGCCAGCCCCCGGTCCTACGGTCCCACCCGAGCCGCAGGGAGAAGGGAAAATGTGATCTCTAACTACCTGGGCAGCACGCGTGCTGCTAAGTCTCCAGGGCTCTGTTACGTAAGGGAAGGGTGGATGTTGGGGGGAGCTGAGCAGTCTGCCACAGCTTGAACTCTATTCAGTGGACCTGAACCCGGTGCTGCAGGTGATGAGAACTGGCCTGTGGCCTCTAAGTGGGAATGTTGCACTTCTAGAGTTGAGTTTTAAGTCACTCCAGCAGCGTGTTTGGGGAAGAAAGGGAAAGGGAACAGAGGAACGAGGAGGTCTATCAAATTCAGGTGACTGTCACTTTGTTTTGCTGCCTCTGGAGTCGTTGCTGCAGGTGTGAGCCAGTAGTGTGAGTTCTCATGTGGCCCAGAAGGGAGCTTTACAGGCAGCCGAGTGCGCTGGGAGCAGGACTGGAGCGATCGGCAGTCCTACTGATTTGGTCAGCACCATTTGTCCAGCGCTGCGCCTGGGCTCGGGGCTCCCATGATGGCCCCCACGGCTCTGATGTGTGCCGGGGCCACGTCCAGCTCTTGGTGGGTCCCACAGTGACAAAGCAGTGTGAATCTTTCGCACCCCCCACTGACACTGACCTATCTTGTTCGTTTCTCTTGGCCTCAGGACCCCCGGAGCAAACACAAGTTCAAGATCCACACCTACTCCAGCCCCACATTTTGTGACCACTGCGGTTCACTGCTGTATGGACTCATCCACCAGGGCATGAAATGCGACAGTAAGTACTGCCTCGGCCTCTGCCTCCAGAGGGCAGAGGCGACAGGAAGGGAGGAGCTTCCCTTCCTCATGGTTTGGGGCTGGGTCCTCAGTGCGGCTGTCCAGTCCCTGGGGAGCTGGGGCCCCAGTTACTTAGTACTGTGTAAAGGTCCTTTCTCCCCACGACGTAGCGACCCAAGATGATAACCATTTACTTAACTCAGGACCCCGCAAGGCTGTCCTTTGGGTCTGGGTTGGGCTCAGCTGATGGCAGCTGGGTGTCCTCATGCGCACATGGTGGGTTATGGTCTGGGCCTGGTTCCTGGGTTTCTAGATGATGGCCAGTTGTCTCTGGGTGTCTGGCTTCCTGGGCCCCGTGCCTTTATCCTCATTAGGCTGGCTGGGCCGGCTCACATGGAGGCCACAGGTGCTGGGTGCTCCTGGAGGAAAGTCCCATTGGCAAGCACACTTCGGGTCTGTTGGCTCAGCCCTGTGGGTCACAGTGAGGCGCAGGATGACGTGGGTCAGTGCGGGAGGGAGCTGTCCACAGTGTGGGTGCAGAGCAGCCTGTACACAGGGCTTTTCCTGCAGCTGTGCATGACAGCTGCTTCAATGTGGAGGTGTGGGCCGACCCATTCTTCTTGTAGAGAAGACCTGCCTCCCTATAGTGCCCAGCTTTGTGCCAGGAGAGGGAGGAGAACATGATTCTAGGGGTGGGGAGATCTGCAGAGGTCTGCTTGGCCCCTGGGGCTCTGAGCTGTGGGTGCAAAGGGGCAGGGAGGCTCCACCTGCTGGTGGCCCTTAGAACCTGCTGGCCTGCAGCAGGCTGAGCAGTCCTGGGACCAGAGCTCTGCACGTGGACAGAGAAACAGACACAGGAGAGACCAGACCCAAGTGCGGGGTGGAACGGAGCTGTCCGGGATGCAGCGAAGGCAGCGAGGCCCACACAGCCAGGCCAGGGTGCAGTGAAGGCAGAGACACATGACAAAGGCACAGAGGGAGGGACAGAGAGGCCTCAGACAGGGGGAGCAGGGCCCCTGCTATGCCCAGGGGACAGCACAGGGCTGGTGCTTTCTGCCTGCAGGACTTGGATTCCTTTCACCACACAGTGCCCCTCATGTGGGGCCCATGCTCCCGCCTCAAAGCCCAGGCTGACTGGAGAGTGGCTGGCGGCTCAGGCTGGCGATGGGTCCGGGGCCTGCACCTCCTCTCCTGCTCTCCCTCTCAGTTTGGAACCTGCCCGCTGAGTCCTGGAGCCAGGTGCTTCTTAGCATCCCCTCCCAGCTCCCTCTGGTCTCTTGAGATGCAGGCCCAGGGCCCAGCCGCTCCTCCTGGCTTCTCCACCTGGACGGAGCATTCCCCCAGAGAGTGCTGGATTCCAGGCCCAGCTACCCGTAGCTGCCTTTGCTGCGCGAGGGAGGGAGCATACACACACTGCAGAGCATGGGGCAGGGGTTTTAGGGACCATTTGATGCATGAGATGGTGTAGGGCCAGACTCGGTTTACAGGCATGCCTCTTTCCTCTCGCTTTGGTCTGCATTTATTCTTAGGGTTAGTTGTGGTGGACACTGTCGTCCGCCCAGACCTCCTTCGCAAGTGCTTCCCTGTCCCCCAGCTGCTGCGGGCTCACGGTGGCGCCCCCTTCTGGGGAGTTGCCAAATCGGCCAAGGTGACCTGGGGTGGGGGGTAAGCCTCATAAACCACAGTTCCGGTTCATTCGCTTTCCAGAGAACCCAGTCTATTCCCTCTCAGTATTGAAAAGTAGGAACATGTCACACACGTAACCTATTCCTCTTAAAATTAAGTTGAATTAACTCGGAAGATGGACACCTGGACACCTCGGGGCAGGCGTTCGGGGGAGGTGTTCGTGCCAGGCTCGCTGGTGGGGCAGCTGCCCTGTGCTCTCGGCCACAGCCGAGTCTCCCCTCACTCCTGTGTCCGGTGGCCTCTGGCTTCAGAGCCACGAGGGTGCAGAAGATGAACAAGTCCAGACCCCTTTGTCCATCTGGGATGGGGACGACTGGCGAGCCCTTTTGATGGCACCCTGGGCGGTCTCTGTTCCCAGCCAGGCTCGTGGGCCGGGGACGGAAGGGCGCAGCTGGCGTGGGGGGCGAGCCCGTGCCCTGCCCTGAGCCCCCGCTCTGCCCCTGCAGCCTGCATGATGAACGTCCACAAGCGCTGCGTGATGAACGTCCCCAGCCTCTGCGGCACTGACCACACGGAGCGCCGCGGCCGCATCTACATCCAGGCCCACATCGACAGGGACGTCCTCATCGTGGTCGGTAGGTGGCCTTCGGCTCCTGCGCCAGCGCCAGCCGGTGGGCACTGGGGAGGGGAGGGGGGTCGGGGGTCATGACCTGACAGCCCTTCCCTGCCGCGGGCGTCCTTGGGAAATGTGCAGCCCCAGAGCAGAGTTCTCAGCACTGCAGGCTGGCTGAGCTCGGGGAGAGGCCAGCTGGGCCCCCTGGACTGGACTTCCTTAAAAACATCTTTGACGTGTAACAACTGTCCACGCTCACGGGGCACGCTGTGACATTCTGACACACGTGCATAGTGTGTGATGAAGTGCAGAGGCTCAGGGAGGCGAGGGAAGCCGGGGCGGCGGTGACCTGCTCAGATAGCAGCGCTCAGCGCCGTGGGCTTGGGCGAAACTGGAATTCAGCTGTCCAGCTGCATCGGGCTTTATTATTTAATTTTAATTTATTAATTAAATATTATCAATCATTAAATTAAATTAAATTTATTGTTTAATTCCTTTAAAGGAATTCTTTTGCACAGCCTCATGGCACTGCCTTAGACTTTCCGTAACTGATTCAGACGAAAAGGTTTTACGGCTCGGTCGTGAAAGGGACTGGTCTTGCAAAAACAGGTGTTTCTGAGGCCGCAGCGCGGTTCAGCAGCTCTGATGTGCCGAGCTGTGGCTTGGGAGGGGCTTTACCTAAACCGTCTAAAAGTTGAGAAGATATCCCTGTAAAATAGAATTCCTCTTTTAAATTGCAGTGCGTAAGCTCAGCGAGCTATTTAGAACACGTGCATTCCACCACATTATTATTTTTTCCCCTCCAGGAGGGAGGCAGAAGGCTGCTTGCTTCTCGGTGGGATGCTTGGGGTTTACCCAGGGAAGCATCCGCAGTCCCTGTTCAAGGGAAGCAGCTTTTCCCCACGGAGGATAACCCGTGCGGGGCCCAGCAGCAAAAATGAGACTCTGCTACCTCCTAGTGTCGCTCTTCAGGAACTACACTCAAAATGCGCACTACATACGGGGTACACCCTGGTTCTCAGGGTTCAGAATCCTCCGCGTAATCTCCTTCAATTCCCCAGCAGCAGTGCAAGACAGCTCTTCTGTTCGTTCTGTAAATGAAATAGCTGAGGCTCAGAGAAGAATATTTCTAAGAAATGGGCTTCCATTATTAATAATAAAACAATAGCTAACATTTAATAAGATTTTGAATGTGTGAATCACTTAATATGTCAAGGACTTAAGAGCAGTATCTTGTGTAAATTTTTCAGCAGCACTAATGAGGTGAGTGTCATTATCCGTCTGCCCATTAGGGAATGGGCTTGGAGGGCCACATACATCCTCATCTAGGTGTTGTTGGCTCTTCAGTGCTGTTACATACTGGTTTTTTTCTTAAGCTTACTTTTGCTCCTTTGCCCTTCCGCACTATTTATTTATTCCCTTTGTGGTTCAGTTTGAGTGGCTGTTTTGGACCTTCTTTGGGGAGTCTTTGTCCTGATGGGGGGCTCATCCTGTCAAGCTCAAGGTCAGCTTTTCCCCTGTAACCCTAGCTATGCCCTGGGCTCTGAGTGTTTTGGTTCTCGGGCAATCCCAGGACACACTAATGAATAGGAGCCATATTCGTCTTCTAGTGCCACAAACTAGATACCCTAACACCAGACACTCATCGTCTCAGGGCCGTGGAGACCAGAGGTCTGGGCTTGAAGTGTCGGCAGGGTTGGTTTCTTCTGAGGCTCTGAGAGAGCCGTCCCAGGCTTCTGTTGGTGGCTGGCAGTGTCCCTTGGCCTATGGTTTTGTCGCTCCAGTTTCTGCCTCCATCCTCCCATGTGATCTCCCCTGGGTGTCTCTTGCCCAGATTTCTTCTTCTATGAGGACACTGGCCATTGGCTAGGTCCCACCCTGAACTAGTATGACCCCATCGTAACTTGATTACATCTGCAGAGACCCTGGGTCCAGCTAAGGCCACCTTCACGGGTACTGGGACAGGGAGTTGAGCATCTCTTAAGGGATACACAATTCAGCCAGAGTGGAAGGTGGGGGACCTGGGGCTCCCCTGGGGTTAGGGGTAGAATTTCTGCGTGAAGCATTGATTACACAGCTCACAGTGATTCAGGAGCACCCTGGGGTTGGCTGAGTGCATTGATGTTGGATCGCCCGATGGAGGTAGAGTTGTTGCCATCAGAAGGAAGGGGAAACTGAGACTCGGCAAAGCCCAATGCCTGGATCAAGGTCCAGGCAGAGCAGGGAAGCACACCTGGGCCACCGTGTCATTATGGCCTGCCATCTGTAGCCCCTTTACCAGGCTGGGCACAGGATACTCAGCATGCATTTGTTGATTGATCAGTGGTGCAAGAATCCTGATGCTTTGGCTGTTTCTAAGACAGAGCCAGGATGGGGTTTGCTCAGATGACTCAGCTGCTCTCGGGAGAGAAGGGAAGCAGGACAGGGCATGGCAGAGGCTCATGGGGGATTTGGTCTCCATCAAGGCTGTGCGATCCTGGCCCCATGGAGGAGCTCTTGGCCAGATCCTGGAGCACTGACAAAGTCCCACCTGGGGTGAGAGAGGTGGGCTTTCATGCTCTGAGTCAGGACATGCTGAGGGATGATGGCGTCTCCCATGTATGCTGAAGCCGTAATCCCCAGGGGGATAGCATTTGGAGACGGAGCCTTTGGGAGGTAGTTAGGATTAGTTGAGGCGTAAAAGCAGGGACCTTATGATGAGATTAGTGGCCTTAAAGGAGGAGGAAGAGTTAGATGTGGTGGCACACACCTGTAATCCCAGTGCTCTGGGAGGCTGAGGCAGGAGGACCTCAAGTTCAAGCCCAGCCTGGGCAACTTAGTGACTTAGCAAGACTGAGTCTCAAAATAAAAAATATGTGGGGAGAAAGGAACCCTTCTCCACTGTTGGTGGGAGTGCAGACTGGTGCAACCCCTGTGGAAATCCGTATGGAGATACCTCAAAGAACTAGGACTAGAGGTCCCATTTGACCCCGCTATTCCCCTGCTGGGTATCTTCCCAAAAGAATTAAAAGAATCATACCACAGTGATATATGTGCACATGTTTATAGCGGCACAGTTTGTAACAGCTAAAGCTTGGAAACAGCCCAAGTGCCCATCAACTGGAGACTGGATAAAGAAGATGTGGTTTTTTTATAAAAGGGAGTACTACTCAGCCATAAAGAACAAGAAACTAGAGTCATTATAGCTAAATGGATGCATATTGAGGCCATACACTTAAGTGAAATAAATAGGACAGACATGTGTAAATACCAAATAGCTTCTCTGGTGTGAGAAACTGAAAGTCTAAATAAGGATTAAAATGATTAAAATGAATAATTGATAATTTGAAATAGGAAGAAAAGTTCCAAAGGGGTAGGGGAAGTGGGAGGGGAAGGGGAGAGGAAAGAAGGGAAAGGAAAAATTATGAGAAAAGAAACAAATGGAAACAAATTCTTTGTAAATAGGGAAGGGCGGAGTGGGGAAGGGAGGGCAGGGGAAGGAGGAAAAAATAAGAACCAAGACACATCATGTACAGGTACAAGCACCCAATGATAAATGTAAATGTATTGTATACCTAAAATGTACCAATAAAAGAATTTAAGCAAAAAAATAATATAAAAGGGGATAGGGCTGTAGGTCAGTAGGAAGGCCCTGGGATCGATCCCTGTACTGGAAAATAAAGGGGCGTGGGGAAAGGTCCCTGTCTCACTGCTACGTGAGGACACAGCAAGAAGGTGGCCAGGCGAGGAAGTGGGTCCTTTTCAGGGTCTGAACCTGCCCGCACCTTGGCCTTGGATTTCCCCACCTCAATAACTGTGACACATATGTTGTTGTTATTCAAACTGCTCAATCCATGGCATTTTGCTGTAGCAGCCTGGACTGACTAAAATAGTCTTTGCCTTAGGCTGCTGGGGTTGGAGGTAGAGAGGAAGCAGAGCCTCCCAGTTCCGGTTGCTTCTGCCCAGTGGAGGGCATTTACGTGGAGACAGGGCATCTGTGAGCCACTGACTTTCAGGACTCACAGAAGCTGGGGTATGTGTGTGCCAACAAGTATGGAGGGGAGCCGGGCAGGGTTCAAGAGCCTTCATGGCCCGGGGATCCTCTAATCTCCCAAATTTCCTGGTTTTATTGTTGGGACTCTAACTGTCCCGTCCCCCCCCCCCCCGCCTTGATCCTGGCCTGCAGATCAGAGAGGAGAGAGCACTAAAGGTTATTTGGGGCCTTCTCAGCGGTTCCATGCAGAAGAGAGCTTGTGGGAGCTGTTGAATTGTCCCACTTCACCCAGACCCCACAAGCATGTGCAGGGTTAGGACCCGCCAGTCACTACCAGCCCAGGACACTGCCATTAGACCCGAATACCACTAGCTGTTTGGAGACCCCAGCACCTCCAGAGGTGGAAGGTTTTTGTTTCCCTTGGCTACTGAATTCTGGTTGCATATCTGCTCTCTGGGCTCTTGCAAGTCACTACCAGAATGGAGATCTGATCCATTCTTCTTTACACACCCATCGGTGGTTTCCCATTACCTTCAGGACAGCCCAAATCTAACACGATGCTCTCTTCTCCATCCAAGTCCTCTCCCGGCAGGCATCCTCTCCAGACTGCCACCCATCTGCATATTCTGTTTCCTGTTTTAGAAATTTTTTTGCCATCTCCTTTCTCAGCATTTAACTCCTCTTCTTCTAGATCCCAGTTTCTATTAACTCCTGACTACCCTCTGTCATTGATGATCATGATATCTCGAGCTTCTGTCAGCTACAGTTTTGTATTGAGTTTGATTCATGTCTGCATTTCTCACAAGGCATTCACTCCCTGAGGGCAGGGCCACATCTGCTTTTGGTTCACACCTTTATCTCTAGCCTTGGGATAGTGAGGATCCCTAAATATGTGTGGCATGGGTGAATGCGAATACCCCTGGAGGATCCAGATGGATGTCACGTCCCCTCAGATGGCCCCAGAATTAGTGTCTTCTGAAGTCAGCGGCTGAAGGTTCAAAGATAATCTGACTCACACCATTGTTTATAGAGGAAGCACAATACAGAAA